CCCAAGTGAGTGCATGCCCCCTGCCTCCTGCCCACGCCGGCTCTAGCCTTTTCTTTCTGCACCCGCAGCTCCCACAGCACAATCGGTCTTGTCAGATTAGAGCTATCAGATGGGGGTCAGGCAGGGGTGCGGCTCTTCCCAAGAGCTATGCCGTGAGGAGACTATCTGGGGATGTCTGCTGGGTGGCCCACAGCCCCACCCAGAGCCTCACACTCTGGACTGGCTCCCCGGGGCATCTGGCAGTGTGACCGCAGGGGGTGCAGGTCTGAAGGCCAGGGGAGGGGCCTGAGGCAGAATACGGCCCATGTCCAACCAACCAATGCCACGCAGCAGGTGGCAGCCCACTCTGCTGGGCATCTCTCCAAGGAGCCTCGTCCTGCAGGCTTCTGTGTACCACCCACTAGGAGAGTCATTTAGGTAAACAAGGAGTTTACCCAAACGAGAGGAGTTTACCTAAACAAGAGAGCATGGCCCCTGCGTGCCTCCCTTTCAAACTGCTTCACACCAGTAAGGAGGCGCCCAGTTCTAGGCCAGTCATCAGAGAATTATTCCAGGGCCATGCTGGAACCAAGCCAGGTGTCCAATAACTGATGAATGGATCTTGAAGGTGTGCTGTAGAGACACCAGGGAATACTATGCAGCCGCAAGAAAGGATGAAATCATGTGATTTGCTTCAACTTAGATGGAACTGGAAGATATCATGTTAAGTGAAGTAAGTTAGTAGAAGGACAAGTACCAGATGATATCATTATCTGTGGTGTATAAAATGATAGGAATGCAAGGTATCAAGGCAGGGGATACCTAGATTACCCTGGATGACAGAAATGAGAAGGGCAGGGAAGGAAAGAATTGAGGAGAGTGGTAAGAAAAGATAAATAGGAGGTAACAGGGGTAGGAGTTGGGGACTTCGGCACATTGGTGTAGAGGTGTAGGAAACATATGTGTCTCTACCACAGGGCCAACAACACAAGCATGAATTCTTAACTACAATATAGCACTGCACTGTAGCACTGTCATCCCATTGTTCATCGATTTGCTCGAGCGGGCACCAGTAACGTCTCCATTCGTACCTGTCATGTGCTAGTGTAGCCCAGTGGCATCTGCTCACTCCAGGAACACGAAGTGAGACTTGTTGCTGTTTTGAACATATCAAATACGCCATGGGTAGCTTGGTAGATTCTGCCGTGCAGGCAGGATACTTCAGTAGCTCGCTAGGCTCTCTGAGAGGGATGGAGGAATCAAACCCAGGTCAGTGATGTGCAAGGCAAACGCCCTACCCACTGTGCTATCGCTCCAGCCCTAAACTACAATAACCAAACGTAACATGTGCCAGTTAAGGAAGGAGTCTCAGGGGGTGGGAGGGAGCCTGGGAACATCAGTGAAGGGAAGTTGACACTGGCGGTGGGGTTAGTGTTGGAACACAGTATGCCTGAAACTCCATTGTGAACAATTTTATAAATCACACTACTTTAATAATAAAACTAATTTTTAAAGGCAGCCCAATCCATACATCAGTACATCAGTAAGAGTCATGAGTCTGATCTGGGTCCCCAGGAATATTTCCCATAGCCTTTGAATTAGAGAAGAGAGAAATTCAAAAAGTAAAGAAGGAAGTATACAAAACACAAAGATTTGGTAGGATGAACTTTGAACTTTGTTAAAATTAAGAACTTCTGCTCATCAGAAGGCACCACAGTAGACTAACAAGGCACAAACTGAGCAGAGAATATTGGACTACATAGAACCCAGGACAGGGCCAAGGAGAGAGAGAGCTCTGGAGTGAAGGCTTTACATGCACAAAGCCTGGGCTCTGTCTTCTGAGAAGTGTGTCGGAACAAGCTCCGAGCAGAGGCCCTGAGCATCATCAGGTGTAGCCCAAACCTTACCCTCTGCCCTGCCAAAACCCACCAAAGTCACAGTAGGCTCATCTAGAATAAATAATTATAAATTAGTAGAGAAAGGCAGGCATGTCAATTTAAAACCTGCAAAAGGCTTGAACAGATTCTGAGTGGAAGAGGATTGAATAATGATCCAGTTAGCTTTGGGAAGGCAAACAGCCCTATTAGTCATTAAGAAGTGAAAATCAAAGCCACAGTGAATGAACTATCATTACACACCCAGTCAGACTGGGTAGAACTTTAGAAACAAAATGCACAAATGTTGCTGAGGGAACCAAATAAGTGAAACTCATTAGAATATAAATTGATACAATCTCTCTGGAAAATATTTTGGCAATAGCTTTCAAAGCTGAACATATACCTGCCTCATGACCCAGAAGTTTCCAGGTATATCCACCTGTACACACATACTAGAATGTCCATGACAGCTTTATCATCATAGCCCCAAACTGGAGATGACGCAGTATACATCAGTGTACAGTCACCGTAGCGACATCATGGAATGCTCTGCAGGTATGAGGAAGATCCTCCTAGAACCACACACAGACAACGGTAAGCACCTAGAGCCAGACCCAGGTACCAGAGAGCACAGACCACTTGCATCCAGTTTTGGATAAGTCACAGCATTGGAGACCAACCCCAGGAACAGAAACCTGGACTATGGGTTCCTTTGAGGAGGATGCCAGGGGTAGCGGGAGAGACACTTTCTAGAATCAAAGTTGAAGCATCACAATCAGGCCAGAGAGACAGTACAGTGGGTAGGGTGTTTGCACATGGCTGATTGAGGTTCTATTCAGGATATCCCTGGGCCCTGAGTAAGGCATAAGTACCACCAAGAGTGGTTCAAAAAAAGGAAAGGAAAGAAAAATTATAATAGTTTCTATATAGTTTCTCTTGTTAGATTGCAGGCTTTTCAGTAAGGGACCCTCCACCTTCCTTAGCACACATGCATAAGTGTGCACGCATATATGCATACACCATGTGCGCACACACACACACACACACACACACACACACACACACACACCTCTTTGTCTTCTGCCACCAGCCTGGAGGGAACTCCCAGAAGGGCCAACTAATGTCTGTGCCAGGGTGAATATTTCCTTTTGGCTTCAAATAAAAGATCCACAAGCAGTTCTTCCTTGTTGCTTTTGCCTACAGGCACCACAACCTGCAGTGTTGGGGATTGAACTCACAACCTGGCATGTGTTAGGCATGTGCTCTGCCGCTTGAGCCACATCCCCTGACTCCTCGTCCCTTTTAAATTTTAATTTTTAAACGCATCAGTCATTTTAGCTCTTCTATGTATGTACCAAGGACTATTCAAAGTGTGGCCTTAATACTTATCGAATCTGTTACCGATTCATTCATTCAACTTATTGATGTAGAATAATAATGACCGGGAGGGCTGGGAGGTAGTGCAAAGCTCTGAAGCACATGCTGGACACCCAAGGTTTGATCCCTCAACATAGCACTATCTTCTGAGCACTGCTGACTCTCGCATCAAACATCACTGGGTGTGAAGGAGGAGGAGAAGGAGAAAGGGGAGGAGAGCTCAGTGGACAAGAGCCCTGCTTTCATCCCTGGCACAATCCAGTCCCCCAGTACTGCCCAAAGCACTAAGCTATGTGTGTGTGCACTAAGCTATGAGTGTGTTCCCTGCCCCCCAAAAAGAAAGAAAAATGTTCTTGAGACCAGAGCAATAGAACTTTGTGTAGGATGTGACTGATCAGGGTTCAACCCTGGCACCCCATATAGTTCTCTGAGCACTACCAGGAATGACCCCTCAGTGCAGAGTCAGGATTAAGACCTGAGCACTACTGGGTGTGGTCTAAAAAACAAAAAATGAAGAGGAGAGGAGATGAGGGAAAGGGAGAGGAGAGGAGAGGACAAAAGATGAAAGAGGGGAGAGAGGAGGAGAGGGAGAGGATGGAATGGGAGGAAGGGGAGGGGAGAGAAAAGAGAATTCTCTAGTACAGAGAATTTAGCCTTTTTCTAACTGTGGCCCCTTTCAATCTCATTTCTTATGCTACCCTCATCCTACTGGTTGGTCCCCTCGTCTTTGCCATGACTCCCCCACCCCATCCCCATTTATGTGATTTTTCACCTGTGTTCCTCTTGGAATATCCTGGGATGCCCTGAGGGCCTCCAGGTGAGCAATGATAGTCTAATATATATTCCGTATCAGATAAAACTAAGCTTCTGTTGAACTAAATAACTAACCTTAATAACCTTGATAAAACTAACCTTAGGCAAAGGGCATATGTTTGTTCCACTACAGATGAGGAAATCAAGGTCCAGAGATAGTGCAAAGTTCAGGAGCACAATATTAAACAATGGATGCTGGGTCACAGGGTCAGCTGCTAGTCTGAGATTCCAAGTCAGATCCCACGTTCTCCCATAGCATCCATCCAGTGTAGCTGTGCCCTGAACCACATCACCTTGCAAGGCCAATGGAGAGGGAACCAATCTCTCCATCTAGACTGGCCAGCCTTGGGATGAGGGTTTCTGCTCCACTCTAGTGCCAGGGTCTGCTTTACACGCAGCGGGCAAGTGGGACCCGCCTGCAGATGGAGGGGAATGGCGTGCCTGCGTGGTTCTGCCTCCGTGTGGAGAGGAACCCTTCAAGCCTCTCCACCGGTGCCCCAACTCCACCACCACCACCACCACCACCCTCCAGATGTGCTAAACCCCTTTGGTCACTTTGGTTGTTGCCCTTGAGTTCTGGTTTACATATGGACTAGGAAGCGCTTCATAAAATGTTCTTTCTGTACGTGCACAATAGTTGGAAAGGGGGTGTTTAATCCAGGGCCCTTCCCCCCTTTACCCTCGAGCACGGCAGGAAAAGTTTGAGGGGTCCACAGCCCTATCTCCAGCCAGGCTCTCAGTGGGGCACTCAGACAGTGACAGGTGGTGGTCAAAGAACCCCGATCTCTCCAGGGAATTCTGCAGCCCACTACGGGCGTCACTGTACAGTGGCTGGCACCCGGCGCCGCCCCGCTCCTGGGCAATCCCGGGCGCCTTCCAGGCGGCAGAGGCCACGCGGGGTGGGGCTCGCCGTCATCCATTTACCAGCCTCGCCCCTCCAACTGGCGCGCCGTTAATGAGATTAGCAATTAAAAAGCGGGCGCGCGGCGGGCCCTGAGGCGCGGGGCCACCCCCAGGCCGAGCCGGGGCGGGACGGCGAGCCTGGCGGTGGCGCTCGGAGAGCAGAGCGCGCGGCGACCGAGCGGGACCGGTTCGCGCCGAGCAACGGGACCATGGAGAAAGGACGGCCGCTGTGGGCCAACCCGCTGCAGTTCGTCTTCGCCTGCATCTCGTATGCCGTGGGCCTGGGCAATGTGTGGCGCTTCCCCTACCTGTGCCAGATGTACGGCGGAGGTGAGTGCTGGCGCCCGCACCTGGGAACGCGCCTTCCTGGCGCCGCGGTGCGCGAGGCTGCGCGCTTGGACCGGGGCCCCAGGGTCCCAGACCCGCAAACGCAAAGCGCCTAAGTGATCTGCCCAAAGTGACAACGCCGAGAATCAGGGTCCCCAGGACCAGCTCCGGCTGCAGCCAGAGGTTCCCATGCTGCCCTCAGCCGCATCCCCGGGCCCCCCGAGCCCCGCCGGTCCCCACCACCCAGGTCTCCCCTCCCCGGGTTGTCGCTCCGGGAGCCGCGGGAAACAAGCGCGGGACGCGGCGCTTCTGCGGCACCGTCTGGTGGGCACACTTGCCTACAAGTGTGAAAAGTCGGGCAGGAGGTGTCTGGTTCGACAGAAACTCGTTTTACTACTCGGATCCGAACTACACTCCTGACCGCTTAATTTGAAAACAGATTCCAAAAGGATCTTCAGCCTTTTTTTTTCTTTTTTTTTTTTTTAAATGAAAAGTTGCTTTGGGTTTGGAACTACATTAGGCGGGAAACGCAGGTCATTGTTTTGTTTGGGGTTTGTTGTTTCTACGTTGATTTTTGTCTTTACAACTGTTTTGGCTTAGCGCGGGCGGCGGTTCGCTCAGGTCATAGCGGGACTCGCGCCCTCCCCTTAGAGTCTGAAACTCAGGTGTTTCTTGGGGACCTCTGTGAAAACCGAGTGCCCGTTCGGGAGGGAAAATGACAACAGGGATCCAAGTGTCAGCATTCAAAAAAATATTTTTTTTAATGTACCAGTAGCTCCATTTCTAGAATTCGACCTAAAGGAGGAACTCAGCAGAATTCTGACAGCAGGTGGAAAATAAAAAAATAGGTGTCCCTCTTCCAATAAAAATAGGAAGCTGGAAGCTTCCCAAGTCCTCCACTAAAGGGGCTCCATTGCTTCAATAAACTTGGACCCACTGTGCAACTGCAGTCCTTTGCATCCACTGAGATGGAGTTTTTTTTATAAATTTTTATATACCTCTTTCTCGTTATCACGTATTAAGTAGAAGGAGAAGTCAATGCAAAACAAAGATCTCCGTTATGCTTCAAGGAAATCAGAGAAAAGAGAATGAGAAAAACATACCAAGATGTCAATAATATTTACCTCTGCTGGCTTGCCTTGGAGCATATCTATTTTATGTCTTTTATAATCACCATAACTTATTTTTTTGCCATAAAGATAATGTAAGATGTTTGACCAAAGCATTTACAAAGTTTAACCCACTCAAGACCACAGCCTAAAACACTGCTCCCCTTCCACATCTGCTTCAAAAAAAAAATCCACCATAAGTTAATCCTGTTTTTTTTTTTTTGTAAGAGTGCGTGTTTTATTCTGATTCCATTTTTATTTGAAGAGCACAAATACAGCATAATGATGGGAAGGACATGGGCTGCCATATGCTTTACAGCTTCATGTCTGATATTTGGAAAGATTTACTTGTCAAGATGAGATTTTGAGTTCCTGTGCTCAGGTTACCTTGTTGTGTTATCCCCCCACGTTATCCAACCAGGTGAGCCTTGCTCTCAAGTGACTGTCTAGTTCCTTGTTTCTAACAGCACCATCATCTGAATGGTCTACGGTGGGGTGCAAACAGCAGTGCCATTCTGAAGTGGATTATATATATATAAGGAGTTGCTAGGGAAACTACCAGTGCTCCAGGACCCAGGAAAAAGAAGAAACCTTATGCAACAGAATATACTTTGACTGCATGGGTGGATGCTTGACATATGGACACTGGAAAGAGCAGGGACTGGAGGGCAGATGAGTGGATGCAGGAAGGAAAGCCTGGGATACATGTATGGTGTTGGATGGATGGATGGATGGATGGATGTGTGCATGCATGGCAAATGGATGGATGGAAGGAAGAAAGCATGGGTGGAGGAGGCTTTGGGTGAAAGGATGGATGTATGCATACGTGCATGCATGATGCATGGATGAACAAATAGGTGAGTGGCTAGGTCAGGTGGACAGCTGTGGACTGAGTATGTGGTGTCCTATTTATGCCTACCATGAACAGACCAAACAGCATATCCTGGCACAGCAGGTATATTCCCATCCCATTTTCTTTTTTTTTTTCTTTTTGGGTCACACTCAGCATAGCACAGGGGTTATTCCTGGCTCATGCACTCAGGAATTACTCCTGGTGGTGCTCAGAGGACCATATAGGATGCTGGGAATCGAACACGGGTCGGCGGCGTGCAAGGCATACACCCTATTCGCTGTGCTATGGCTCCAGCCCCTCCCATCCCATTTTCTGCCACTCCTCTTCCAGGCCCCCATCCCATTCTGCACAATTCTCTGCCTCCACACTTTGCACATGCTGTTTCCTCTATGTGGGATGCTCCTGTTAGCCTGAGGAGTTCCTTTCCTCCCTGTAGGTCAGGCCAAGCTTCTCTGTCCCTGACTATCCCCACTGCCCATCAGGTCAACTGAGCACCTGATCAGAAGGACATACCTAGTTTGCGTTTTCTAAATTGAGCACGGACCCCGTCTCTGTGAAGTGGTAGGGTCAAAAGAAGCACCCCAACATACTGTTTGGATAGGCAAGCACAGTCCGGTATGAAAAAAGAGCAGGGCATCGTGGTGGGGTACTGGAGCCTCTCACGTGCAGTACCTTTGTATTATTTAGTGATTGTTTCTGCAGTTTACTCACCTGTCAGGAATAAGTCAGCTGCATCATTAAAGACTCCAAAGAGATGTTTAACTTCCTTCTCAACAGAGTCTGACCCGTGAGCCTGCATCAAACAGAACCCTGAATAAACCTCAGAGTCCTGCTGTGATAAAATATTTCCCAGAATCAAAGGGATTAGGGGTCGAGGCTCATTTCCCTGGGGCTCTACTGGGACCAGGGAAGCCGGTTCCCTTCCTGCTCTCTGGGCCAGGCCCCCAGGAGGAATGTTAATTCGGAAGATTACATTCCGGGTACCAGCCACCTCTGCACACAGCCGCAGGCCTGAGGACAGACCACAGCCCAGGAGCTGCCCAGAGTCCCTTCTGGGAAAGGTTGGTGGGTCTGTTTTGGCAACCCTGTCAGAGTCTAGGGCAGGGGTTGCGCAGGAAGAAATGGCCTTCCAGCTCATGTGTGGAAGATAACCATGCCAGCTGGATTCGTTTATTCTACCTTACTTGTGATTCGTTTTTATGTACAACGCTTAGATCATAGAAGCCATCTGGCTGGTAGGAATGTGGGTCGCTTTCTCCTGTCATTTTCCATGTGGGATTTGTATCATTAAAAAGGAATGTCTGAGGGCACCAGTGATGCTGTGGGTCATTCTCAGACTGGACCCCCACTCCCCCTTCTCCTTGGCTCTGAGGCTTTGGGCTTCCTGTTGCAAACTGGAGACTGCACCCGCCCGAGACAGACCAGCAGGGAAGCTCCACAGGGCACATGTGCTCCTCCTCCCTCATCCGTACTACCGCTGCCAACCCCAGTGCCCACTCATAAGGGACGCCCTGCTCCCTGCCACCTTCCAAGGCCTCCAGCTGCTGGAGCAGCGGGCGCTGTGCCTGGCACACAGTTGGGTTTGGAAGGGAGAGGCGGGACCAGCCATGTGGCACTTGCTGATCTCCAGGGTGGACAGCTGCCATGGTGGGTTTTGAATGTGCACCATGTCTTCGCATGCAAAACCTGGACGCGATAGATACGTCACTGCTCCAGCAGCAGGTGCCAGCCAGACCAGCATCCCACCAGCCTCCTCCATCGTTCAGGGCCTGATGGAGCTGGAGACTGAGCCCCACCAGGTCATCCCTGTGTGTGCTCCACAAAGGTGGTTACCCTGGGGAAGGGGGGGGGTGCGCGAACATGAGAACACCCCTCCTGCACAGGAAGGGCCCTTACCCCGAGCCAAAATTTGGGAATAACTCAGGAAGAAGGACTGAGTGGCAACTGTGTGTGTCTGTCCATGCAAGTCTGTGTGTCTGTGCATGTGTGTGTGCATATCTGTGTGCATGTCCATGCCTGCCTGTCAGGCTGTGTGGATGTCTTTGCACTCAGGCCCAGCTGTGTGTATTTGTGTGTTAGTGCACTCACATCTTGCTGAATGCCCGTGTGCGTGCCTATGTGCATGTCAGGCTGTATATGTGTCGGTGGAATCAGGACAGGAACCTGACTTTCAGAAATTGTGAAGGAGCAAATATATAATTTTCAAAGTGAGCTCAAGATTTGGGGCTGCTGGTATGTCCCCCCCCCAGAAAGTTCGTCCTTCCCTCCTGCCCTGGTTTCTGGGCTCCATCCTGGTACCAGCAGGGCTGCCAGAAGCTATGCCTGAGCCAGAGTGTGACGCATCCCCGCAGGGCTTTGATGCTGCACAGCAACCCCCCACCCCTGCAGCTCCTGTCCCCCACTAGCAACTGCAGAGAGGGAAAGTGGGCTTGTGGAGGAACAAGGTACTCAGGTCTTCTTGGAACACTGCCCTGGAGTGAAGGCAGTGTAGGAGAGGGCAGCCCTTGCTCAGTGCCCAGCTCTGAGCTGCCGATACACAGGGCTCTGCACCATGTGGCTTTGGTGTGTGTGTGTGTGTGTGTGTGTGTGTGTGTGTGTGTGTGTGTGTGTGTTTATCCACAACCATCTTCTCTCCTGGGAGGGATCTGACCTGGCACCCGCAGACACCCACCTGTGACAGTCCCCTCTACACTCTGGTTCCCCCCAATCTCCCCACTTCACTCAGTCGGATGCACCGCCTGACTTCACCCTCTCCAGAACCTCCTCTACCCTAATTGAAAGCCTCTTCTGTACACTCCTTGGCAGTCTAACTGGGCACTGCATGGAGGGGAGCACAGTGGGGGCAGGGTGCAGCTGCAGTGGGGAGGACCCCTAGTCGGGCTGCAGCTACAGAAGTCACTCCCCACCCCCACCCTAGTGTTAACATTGCAGGGAGTTTGACCCTGGGGTCTATGTCTCATCCCCACCCTCAAATCCTGATTGTTGGTTTCTAAGGGGAACAATTGAAGTTTGAAGGCTCCCCGGGGTCCTCGCTGGACATC